TGTGTGTGTGTGTATATATATATATATATATATATATATATAAACAGATATAGTTCATATATTTCATCGTTTAAAAGAATATCTGGGTAGAAATACAAAATCCACACATAAAATAAATTTTGAAAATAATCAGAAATAAATATAGACAACTTGTCTTTACGTGACATTCATATAATGAAAAAGAGAAAAAAAATCATCCTAATTGTTATAAAACAAATCCTATGAATAGGTGCTCAAAGTGGAAGAAACATGATGCACTTAAGCATACACTACAGATCAAACGTTTAGGGTTAGTAAACGTTTTTTTTTTTTAAAGAAATTAATACTTTTAATACATAAAATTTATCAAAAGTGACAATAAAGGCATGTAATGTTACAAAAAGACTTCTATTTTAAATAATGATGTCCTTCTTGATTTTCTATTCATCAAAGAATCCTGAAACAAAGAAGTATCACATTTTCCACAAAAACATTACGTGCCAACTACTTTCAACGTTGATAGTAATAAGCCATGTTTCCTGAGCAGCAAATCATCTCTCCTCTTGAGCACACACAAGCACACACTCTCTCTCTGTCTCTCTCTCTCTCAGGTATCTGACCCTAATCTTCCCTCTCCAACAGCTTCAATCCCATCTCTTATTGTGTTTGGCCTGCCCAGCAGAGCAGACCGGATTCTCTCTGTCTCTTTTATCACTTTTCAGTCCCTGCCAGGACAAGAAGAAAGAAAGACTGCACTGGAAACAGCTGAGCTGGAGACTTCTTCTCTTCACTGCTAAGCCGTTTGGGGGTTTGGAGATAGTAAGGGCCAGGACACCGTCACTCTCTCTCTCAGTGGACAGTACTGATAGGGTTATGAGAGGGGAAGTGAGTAAAGACACTTCCTGTTGTGAGTCTCAGTCGGACGCTGTCAGTCAGGCGACAGAATGATTACCTTCAGCTCGTCTGGATTCAAGAGTGTCTCAGGCTGGGATATATCCTGCAGCGTTGATGTGTCCTGTCACTCAACACTTCCTCCTCTCATTACTTACTCTAGCTTCCCTGTTCGTCTCATTTCCATTCAGGATGCATCTGTATACTCTCACCCCGGTGTCCTCAAACTCTTTCTTTCTGCCGAAAATGGCAGAAAGAAAGTGCAGTGCAGTGCAGTGCAACTTATGCAGTGATGACAGGAGGGATGGAGGTAGATGGATTGTCAGTCTCATGCCCCTTTCACACAGAGTGATTTTGCCGTTGGAGGACGGCGGGTTGCTACTGGGCGTTCCTGAGGCTGGACGTCCCGATGTTGCAGCGAATAGCTTTTAAAAATCCAATCACAAATGAGGTGTACTGCTGGTAAAAATCATGTGTAATTTAATTCAACAACAAATTAGTTTTCTTGAGTCTTAAAATTAGCATCCTGAAGCGGAAATTAGTTTAGGCTTTAAACAAGGAAAAAAACCTATTTGCTAATGGGGTGAGACAAAATAAACATGTTTCCTTTTTGAATTAAGCTTATTTTGTCTTTGCTGAGCATTTTAAGCATAAATCCCATTAACCTGAGTTAGAGTTCTCTCTTAGAATGATTTATTATCATATGCATTGTTGCTTGTTTTACAATACAAAGAAAATTGTTTTTGCAGTGCACTCAGGTTGCCAGAAACTTTGAAAATGAATGACCACCTGTCTTAGTGCAACTGCAGATCACCGTCAGCGTGAACAATCCTTCAGATGATGGTCCATTCCTCTATTACATATTGGATTGATTATAGCACTTCCCCTGACCAGTATTTTTTTTTTAATATAAAAAGTTAATAAAATAAAAAAAGTTAATTAAAAAGTTAAATATAAATAAAACAAGACAAAATTCATAAATATTAAATAAAATACAATTTGGATTGATTATATCACTTCAACTGACAGGCACTATATAAAATAAATTATAATATAAATATAAATAAAGCAACACAAAAAATAAACAAATAAAATATAAAAATACCATCAAATCAAAATAAAATCAAAATAAATTAATTTATATTTATTTTGTTTAAACAAACAAAAAAATTAAATAATACAAAAAAATCGTCTTCATCCAGCAGCAGTCTCAATGTGTATATTCACAAACATGATTGCCAGTGGGATTCTTGCCCTTTATATACTGAGAAATGAACAATGGACTACTCAGAAAAAAATAATCTCAATCTGCTCAATAACAAAGAGAAAAGCTGAGCTCATACGAACTGAAATCTCACCAACAGGTCAACTCAAATCTGACTTCTGCTAAAATTATTATGGACTTATGGACTTCAGCACCATGGACAGAGACACACACAAAACTTCAGCACCATGGACAGAGAGACCAAATTAAAGATACCCCTGCTCACTACAGACTGATGTAAGGGAGAAATAATAAAGTTTTACAATTTCAATGCAGGGAAAAAACACGTGATTCAACAAAAAAAGGCCAATCAGAAAAAAATCCGATATGCTCTACACAGAGAATAAGTATAGGACTGATTCACAATGAGACCTGAATGTGGGCGGAGCATTTCAGTGTGATGTCATAATTAGAACCCAAGTAACCATTAAAACAGCATCGCACCTAGCTAGTGCACTAAAAAGTGTTCTACAGCAATCAAGTGCACTACGGCTCTAGAGCAGAGCATTAGTAAAAAAAGTAAAGTGTGTGTAGCTCGAGGACAGAATTCCTACCTTGACGTGATTGAATTCGTTCTTGCTGGCATCACTGCCGACTGGTTTATTTTCAGCGCGTGGCTTTAGAACCTGCCGCAGCGGGCTGGAGACGGGCAGACCTGTTACACTGATACCATCTGAAAGCACAAAACAACATACATTAGACATACGGCACACATGAACACAGCGGCCAGAGGCCTGAGAAACAGCGCGAGAGAAAAGAGAGATCACTATCTTCTGTGACTTATGTGAGGAGAGGACGCTATTATACAGCAATAATTCCTCACATTCAGAGGACGTGAACATCACTCAAACGCTTCGCTCTCCATCTCTCTCTCTCCATCCGCCTTTCTATCTCTCAGCGCATCTGTTTGTCCGGCATTTAGCACTCGAAATTAAAATTAAAATCTATAACGTGACAGTTTGAAATATGATGAGGTGGAAAAACTTGGTAATAAATAAGGTGCGTGTGCCGCAGTGACTCTCTGGAACACACACAGGTGGATATATTTTATCTCTGCAGCGCATACGGATAACAGCATAAGCTTATAAACGCACACACAAATTCATTCAAGCGAGAAACATTCTGGGTTATTTTTAGAAACGGGACATAAATATGATGAATGAGACTTTCATCAACACAGACTTAAATGGTCTGCAAGACTGCAAGAACATAAAAACCCAAAACTAAAAAAACAAATCCTCAAATGTACGACATCCGTTGCAGTAGGGCTGGGCGGTATATGAAATATTCAAGATATATCTGCAATGATTTCGCTGGTTATATGAAATTAACCAACATTGATATGATACCTCATTACACCATTTTACTAGGACATTACGTTTCTTATAGAGCGTGTATAGTATAGTATAGTATAGTGTTGTGATTATTAAAACAAAAATGTTTTAAAAATGTTTTAAAGGTCTAATTTAAACTTTTATACAATAAATGGTGTTGAGTTGGAAAGTGTGATTCATTTCTGCGAGTCAGTTCAAAATGATTAATTCATAGCATTTATTAAAATATTTGCATCACCCAAAAATGCTTACAAATGTCCTCACATGCTTGTTATATTAAAGCCAAAATGAAATCAAAATGTACCCAATATACTTATTGAATGCATGTTCCTCATTCACATTTTAAAGGCCACTTTTCACAGAAAAGTGCCGAAACAAAATCCAATTTATTCTCATTAATTATCGTGTATAATTTGGAAATATGTTAGATTATTGTCAAAATGTTGAAATTAAATGAAATGAATGAATGAATGAATGAATGAATGAATGAATGAACGAACGAACGAATGAACGAATTGTATATAGCACGTTTAAAGATGAATAATAATAATAATAATAATAATATAAACAAAATAAAAAATAATTAAAATACATTTAATGTATATAGCGCTTCTAAAGGTTTAATAGTAATAATCATAATATTTTGTTAATAATAATAATAATAATAAATGTTTAAAGGTAGTGTCTCTATGTCTTAAAAATGAATAAATAAATAAAACAAACAAACACGGAGGTTGCATTGTCTGCTACACAAAACCATTGCTCTAATTGAAGGTTTTTCTGCAGCAGTGACATTTCTGGATTTGACCTGCTTTGGCTCTGTCTGAGGGAAAATAATGAGGGTTAATTGCAGCATTTGCCATGCACAAATTTCTCTCCATATCTCATGCAGATGCTCCAATACACTCGGATGGATTCTGACATACCACAGAGGAGGAAGAGCAGAAGAGACGGCAGGTTAAAGGTGCATGTACGAAAATGCGGCTCATCACTATTTGAACAGAAACGAATGTCTGTAGAACAGAATGTGATTTTCAGTCATCTTTCAGATGCTGCCTCTCTGCTGCTCGGTAAAAGAGTCGTACGCAGCAGCTAACATCAGGACAGATCTGGTCAGTATTTGTGTTTTTCCACCCGTGGGTTCTGAAAGGGAAGGAGAGGGTGTTCAATCACTCGGCACACAGAGAACTTACGGTCCTCATTACGAGTCCCACGGCCTCCGAAATGATATCACTTCCCTTCAAGAGTGTCTGACACAATATGTCGTAATGTCTGCTGCTAACTTTACAAGACACAGATGCCCAGATACCAGGTCAGAGCAAACAGAGTGACATGAGGTAAGAGGAGGCGGAGTTAAGAGTGTCACACAAGCAGAAGAGGGCGGAGCTAAGATGTATATATGCATAATATATCCACATTTTGATTAATTTGAGTAAAAATGTGTTTTCTTTACCAAGAAAGTTGCAAGATGAAAACCACTATTTTCTGTTTCAAACTTTCACATACTAATACTACTACTACTACTACTAATAATAATAATAATAATAATACAGGTCATAAAGGTTTTTAATATGTATAATATTAATAATATTAATATAAGGAGCTAAGATGTATATATGCATAATATATCCACATTTTGATTAATTTGAGTAAAAATGTGTTTTCTTTACCAAGAAAGTTGCAAGATGAAAACCACTATTTTCTGTTTCAAACTTTCACATAGCATCTTTAGGTTATAATAACATTAAAAATTCAAATCCAGATTTTGATTTTCAAAGATTATATTAAAAAAATTCTCCAAAATGCAATAAATCCATTGAATCAATATAAAAGTTATTTATCATATTGAAACTGTTGAAAATACACAACATAGTAAGTTGATCCACATATGACAGACTCTGAACTTGGTCAAAAGCCAATAATCTTATATACAGGCCCTGGACTAAAAAAACATTCAATCAGTCATCGCCCCCAAAATGAATTCAACGGGTCGTCTTGTTAATGAAAAAAAAAAAAAGGCGAATAATATAACAAATTATTAATATTATTAATATTAAAATAATAAAGACATATTTTATATAGCACCATTAAAGATTTAATAATTTAATAATAATAATAATAATAATGATGATGATAATAATAATAATTAATTGTTTTTTATATAGTGCCTTTAAAAGTCTAAAAGGTAGTGTATAAAATAAAACTTAATAAAAATAAATAAAAAACACAACACAACACAAAACAACCAGTTGCCCAGCAAGACAAGATTATTTTGGCATCTGGCTAGTAAGGGTGGGGACTACAATGGGAATGTGATGATAGCTTGATTACAACAAATAATCAACACCTACTAGCATTGCATTCTTGATTCTTTTTCTGTCATAATTTGATTTTACCTTTTCAACGTATGCAAAATAAATAAAAGAGTCTAGGAGCTCAATATCAGCTCAAATGATCCACCTAATGAACATCCTCAGCTTATGTCTAACAGACGTCATTTACTCCCCCTGCTTAAGTAAAACACAGCGGGTCGCATTGAAAAACGCGGTGCTCAGCGATCACCAGACGTTACCCAATGAGGCTAGCAAGTTCATCCCTATGAGGCGGCGTGACATCATCCGCACCGGGGCTCTGTGGTCGGCTGACGTCCCACATGAAGGGTAAACACTTACCTCCAGCGGGCTCTCAGCGGGGGGAGCCGTCCGGTTTAATGGAGCTGCTCTCCTCTCTCATTATGTTGTTCTTGCACTGACATTTTAACATTCAGGCACTAATGTGTTTAGTCTGACTGTCTGGCCCTCGCGCTCTGCCGCTCTCTGACAGGGAGACGATTTATAGAGGACGGAAGAATGAACGAAAGCACGCAGCATGTTAAAGAAACTCCCGTACGGACTGAACCCAACAGCCTCCTGAGAGACAGACAGAGCATTGCATCACAGCCTGAGTTATGCTGACAGGAGAGATGGAGACAGACGCTGAGAGAGCGATAGAGACAAAAAAGGGCAAAGAAAAAGGGAGAAGAGAACAGAGCCAAAGAAACAGAAAGGAAATGTACGGTGTGTTCAACTAACAAATGTTTTCCATTAGCCGATTCTTTTTAATGAATCAGTTTGATTAAACTCACTCTGATCAACTGAATCAGCTCATTCATTATTGAATTGATTAATCAGCAGGTTAACAACAAATTTACTCAGTGAACCTTTAAAAGTCATTACTAAGAAAATAAATGTTGCAGGCATGTGATCAGCTGAGGACCAAAAATAAGGAAAACCATTTTTTCCCCATTCAGTATAACAACAACAACAACAACAACAACAGTACTTATTTAAATTCTAGAAAAATAAAATAAAAAATAAACTTACAGTTGTAACAATATTATACTACTGTAGTATCACTGTAAAATAAAAAGTATTTTTATTATTATTAATAATAATAATAATAATAAACAACAGCAACAACAATATGGCAATAAATAGCTATAAATATGGTTGTCGTAATTTATTTGCTTTCAAACGTTAAACTATAATAATAACAACACTATTGCACTGTAAAATAAAAACTATTCAAATAAAATATTTAATAAAAAATAAACAAAATATTCTTATTTATTTAAATGTATTTATTTATTTTAAACATTAAATAAAAAATGTATTGTAATATTTGTAATTAAATTGTAATGTACTATACCACTGTACGACTACTGTAAAATAAAGAATAAGTACCTGTTAATATTATTATTATTATTATTAATTTTAATTATAATATTTATAATAATTACAATAATTTCAATATAATAATTATGGTTGTCTTAATTTCTTTGCTGTCAAAAGTTAAACTATTGTAATAATACTACTGTACCGTAAAACAAAAAAATGAGCATTTTAAGAATAAGAATAAGTTTATTTTAAAGAATAATTACTAATAAATAATTAGTTATTTTAAAGAATAAAAGTAAATTTTCAATACTAATATTTATGGTCGTCTTAATTTCTTTGCTGTCAAGCATTAAACTTTAGGGCTTTTATTTTGGTAGAAAACCACTGGGAGACACTAAATATGTTGTCAACATATTAATAAAATGACTAGCACATGTTGCATATACAAATGCAAGTTAGAAATGTTGAAAATGCATCCGTTTTTTTCCCCTTGGATTTACTTAATTCACGCAGGCCAGAAAACTTGCACAGATATGTCTCAAATTTGTGTAAATATGTTGACAACAGTCTGGAAGCGGCTTCATGCAAAACCAAGGACGTCTTGCATCCCCTTATGACATCACAATGGAGAGAAGGTTGAGCAGCCAATCAGAGATGAGGAAGTGCAACATCAACCACTTTTACATTTGAATGACTTGCTTTGATCTTTTGTAATCATTTCTACAGTTACAAACCACAATGATGAGAAAACCAATAGCAAACAGTATTAATATTACTGCTAAATAACAGCAATGATGTATTTGCACCTGCGATAACATCAGCAGTGTTTACAATTCACAGCCCTCTACATGCTGCGCTAATAGGACAGGCTTTAAACTGTCTTATCGGCCTAATTCAGAGAAAATGATTATTTCAACAATAATTAAAACATTTTAGCAGCGTCTGAGGAGAGACCCGGGAGAGGAGAGAGAAAGGAAGAAGGCTGTTCATAGCGCACCTGTTTGTAATTCAAGCAGAAACGCAGCAGACAGATGCACACCGCCGCTCGTCTGCTACAGTCTGCTCTCCTCGTGTCTCATTAATATCTACAAGTGCATACAAACAGACATAGAGAACCTGGAGGACATTTCCCATTCTCAGAGGTTGCAAATTATTTTTACTGACATTTTATACTTTATTGCAAGAGTTTCTTCTCTAATTCCTTAAAATAAAAATACACTTAAAAATATACAAAAAACTCAATTGTTGACATTCAGTGAGAAAGAACATCTAATTTCCTTTCATCTTTTTCCTAAAGAAAGACCATTTACTGAATCAAATTTTTAAATATTAACATGACAGGCCACATTTACATCAGTTTATAATTTTACAACAGTTTATAATTTTTATAAGTGCACTTATTTGATCAAAAATACAGTAAAAACAATATTGTGAAATATTATTACCATTTAAAAGAGAAAACTGTTTTCTATTTGAATATTTTAAAATAATAATTTAATATTAATTTATTATTTTTAATTAATTTTTAACATTTTTGTCATGCATTTCATAATCTTTTTTATTTTCTATTAGTTAATTTTTTAATTTTTTAATATTTATTCATTTATACATTTTCAGCATCATTACTCCAATTTTCAGTGTCACATGGTCCTTCAGAAATCATTCGAATGTGCTGATTTGCTGCTCTTCTTTAAAAAAAAAAATATATATATATATATATATATTACAGATAACTACCCAAACTTTTGAACACTACAGTGTACATGTGAATGAAGATTTGTCTATTTCAAAATCATATGGTATATAGTTTTAAGCAAATTTGAACTCCACTTCAGTGCTGTTCAGTAGAAACAACCGTGATAATGGTGCTTTCTCCTTTTCAGTGCGCTCGAGAGGAAAAACAAGAGGTTAGACAGGAAGAAAGAAGGTATAAGTGTAATATAACCAGGAAACAGACAAAAGGACAAGATGTGAAGAGGAAATAGATATGAATCCAGAGAGGAAATAAGAGAGGGCAGAGGGGACGGAGAGGGGGTAATACAGGAGAGAGACGGCCAATGTCTCTGTTGAATGTGAAATGAGAGGGTACAGACACCATTTCAAATCACCTCGCTTGAATCAGATCTACCATAACAGGGCAAAGTGAATACTGCCTTTCTATCTATCAGAGAGCAATCAAGCCTGTCTTGATTATAGTGCGATGGCTCCGGTGATGCACTCTCAGAAATTGAGCGTAAATTGGATGGGACAAACCAGAACGGACCCCAATGATGTTGTTTTTGCGTGTCGTGTGGATGTTTACCGTCATTCAGGTCGTGTAACAGGTTCTCCTGACCGGAGAAGTCCAGTTTGGCGCTTATGTTGACAGGGATGGAGACGGATTGACCGGATTTCAGAGGCAGGTGGGACAGAGCGTCCTGCAGGTCCCAAGTCAAGAACTCACCAAACAGCTTCTCTGTAAGACAGAAACAGGGAAATATTTCATTACTGTACAGCACTAAGGAATGAAATGACCTGCAAACATCAGTGACAAACAAGGATTTTTAAACTAATAATAAAAAAAGAATTATAATTTTTATTTTTAAAAATACGGAAAAAAAAACTAAAATCTTTATTATTATTATCATCATCATACTTATTAAAATTAAAAAAATATATAAAACAATGACTATAAAAGGTGTATTTGAGACATTGCATGGATATTTTTTATATATATAATTTATTAGGTAGATTAAATAGATTATAAAATAAATTCTATCCAATCTCTAAATCAAACCACAGCAGCTACTACAAAAGTACCATATAACCACATCATATGTAAAGGCATGATATGCACTTTAAAATCATATATTATTAAAACATTTTTGTTTAAGTCTATTTTTTATTTCTCACAAAAATTGGATGAATTAATTGGTGGAGCCCCTGCAATACTGACACAGACCCCCTGCTGTATAACAATCTATATAATTCAATTTCTCTCAAAAATTCCCTTTATTACAGTATGCGAGTCAAAACTTTCTTTGGCTAACTATCCAATCAACTCGAAAACTTGCTGGTATTAAATGATTCACCCTGGTAAACTGCAAATTTATAAAACTTTGGTGATTCAAACCTTAGAGAAGAAATCCATCACAGAAAATATAAAAAAAATATATATATCAGAAATAACTAGATCAAAAGCTCAGATATGTTTTGATCAACTGCACCGAGAGAAACTCCTCACACTCTCTGCACTTGGCAAATAGTTTTTTTATATGGTATACTTCAAACAAAGTGTCTGATTTAACAGCAAATCTGATCTCTAAATATAAATCCCAAATGATGACAATCGAATTGAATAAAAAATAATTAAAATGAAAATGTAATATTAAAATAATACAATAATATTAAAACAAATAAAATAATATTAAAATTAAAATAATATTAAAACAAATTAAAAAATCAAATCAAATAATATTAAAACTAGACCTAAATAAAATAAAACATTAAAAAATAAGAATAAAATATAAAAAAAATAAGAATAAAATAAAACATAATAAAAATTATTTTAATAAAAATAAGTCATGTCAATAACAATATACATGACTATAGTAATCATTCAGTCATGGAATGTGTCACTGTATCTCCATTAGGGCTGCACGATTATGACAAAAATCATAATTGTCGATTATTCCCTTGAAATTGTAATTGCGATTATTAATTACGATTATCACAATTTACATTGAATGATGTTTATACCATTGTTTAATGCAACTGTATAGTATTAAGGATCAAATGTCGAATATACATCGGATTGGTTTCTTCTTTAAATTATATAAAAAAGTAAAAATATGAATGGTATTATAATGTTATACTTAAACTAAAACAATGGAAAAACCCTTAAGATAACATGTAGAAAGAAAAAAACATATCTTAAGAATAACAGAATAACAAGTGAACTTTGAACGATTAATTGCCACTTTGAACGATTACGTAATTGTGGTATCCGTAATTGTAATCACAATTAGAAATTTGATTAATTGTGCAGCCCTAATCTCCACTATACTATTTACTTCAGGTGCTGTTTATCTTCTTATTCTATATTTTACTGAAACTGCTCTACATTGTTGCTGCCTAAGGAGAAATACAACTGAGTTTGATCCCAGTGTGTAACGAGAATCTTACAAACTCGCTCTCTCTGTTCATGTTGTCGTCTCTCTGTGTGAAGACACAAGAAACGGCTGTTCAAAGCTTCATTCAGATGCTAACAGCTCCCAAACCTCACTGAAGATGAATAATAGGCAGAGGCCAAATAACGAAGTCAAATGAGTGCCGCACAAAACGTCTGTGAACGTTTAAATGAGCGTCTGCCCTATAGATACATGATCCTCATGAATCATTTCCACATGAAAGACTGAAGAACGCATGAATAAGATGCTGCATTACAATGGCAGTCATCAGACATTCACTGGGAAAACACTTCGAAATCAACCCGCTGACGCGTATTAACACCTGCCACCTGTTTGTCTGAGGCCTGGCGAAGAGTTTGACCATTTCTGAGTGAACATAACTGATGCTTATTTTCACATAAGCTGACTGATAACCTCTGGTGTCTATGAGCAGTGATAAAATTCGGTCTAAACTCTTGGGTTTACAAACCCAAAACCTTGATTTAGTCACAAAAGAGTGTCTGAAGTCAGATGTTTGACCTTTAACATGACACTACAGCTTATTCTGGCCAAGAACCACCATTTAAACCACAATTTAAGAGCTGGGAAACCTTAAATATCTCTGAACACAAATAGAATATAAAGGTTTGCTCATGGATATGTCCATGAATTAGCATCACAAAATTTACATTTTATTCACATTCCACTTGAAGACCAGCCTAACCTGTATGAGCTCCTATTTGAATATATATGAATTGCTTCTTAAATAATTTTTTCTGGATAACAATATTTAGCATTGCACCAATCGCTATACATCTGATGGAAAGCTGTCAATCAACAAGATTTAATTAAAAAGGGATGAATATTTTGTAGTGATCATGACTTGCTTAATTCATTTAGAGAATGTGGTGCTAAAGGAAAACATGCAAATAAAAGAAAGAATAATTTTTTAGTAAATTACTACAGTACCATTCAAAAGTTTGGGGTCGGTAGGTTTTTTTTTTGTTTTTTTAAGAAATTTATATTTTTATTCAGCAAGGACACATTAAATTGATCAAAAGTGACAGTAAAGTCATTTATAATGTTGCAAAAGATTAGAGCCCGACCGATATGGGGTTTTGGGGCTGATACCGATATTAGGGAGTAAAAAATGCCGATATCGATATATCGGCCGATATTCTTTGTGTATATTATAGTACAGTACCAGTCAAAAGTTTGGACACTTTCCCATTCGTGTGTCCAAACATTTGGTACTATATATAGAATACAGTATATACAGAAACAGAATATATATACAAACACATTTTTTGCAATGATCACTCAAATGTGGTGATCAAACACTTATAATGACGTGACAGAGATACATAATGGAGGCAGGGCATTTAACAATTTAACAATAAACTTTA